AGCAGGGGGGGGGGGGCTGTGTCAGGTCGCTGGAAGGGAGCTCCCCGTGGTGAGGGTCACTGTGCGGTAGCCCTGCAGGCCCCAGCGGCCGTTCATAACCAGGAATGGAAAGAAGCCTGCCTGCTCGGTTCGCCGTGTTGCCCCCATTGGTGCGAGGAGAGGCAGCCGCAGCTGTTATTTAGTGAATCGCACACGAGGGCCGTCTGAGGTATTTAATGCCGGTGAGCTCTTGTGCAAGTAGTAGCTTTTATGATTCCATTTGTGTTAAATTAATAACGGAGCAGGATTTTTACCATTTGATTCCATTTCCTGTAAGAAGAATCCCTGTGTGTGTGTGTGTGTGTGTGTGTGTGTGTGTGTGTGTGTGCTGGATATCTCTGTTCGGGGGCATATTCCATAAATAATAATACATCGCTGGTGGATAATTTTGTATTAAGTCCAAAAAATCCTTTTTTTCCTAACAAGCGTCTGGGACATACTTCACACACAGATGGTATAAAAAGTCAGTTGAAAATAAGGTAACCCAAGCCACCAGTGAGGGGGGGGGCAGAGGGGTTAATGAAAGGCAGACGTGTGAGGGGGCCCCAGCAAAAAAAAAAGAAAAAAAAACAGGCTGTGTATCCAGTCCTGTTGCGGTTTGGGCCTGAGCGTCCTGAAAGAGCAGCAGATGCCGGGCTGGATGCCCCCCCCCCGCCCCCCCAGCAGTGGCCCGGGTTCGATTGTCGGACCGAGCCTCCGAAGGCGCTTTGTATGCTGCCCTAATCTCCCCGTTGTTCTCCCTGCCATCTGTCTGGGGGAAATTAGCCAGCTTTTCACTCTCGGCCTGGGGGCCAGGTGCGGGTGGGGAGGGGGGGCTATTCTCATACTGTCATTGCCCCCCCCCCCGCCCCGGTACCCGACTGCGAAGTCATATTGCTAACGCTCTGCTCGCTGTGGCAAGGCAGTGCTTCCATCCCCACCCCCAAACGCCTGTTTACTGGAACATCATGTCAGAGCTCTATAGATAATGAGCTTTCTGTGCCAGACTGCTAGGGGCTCGGAGATGGGGGGGCCACCGGCACTCGGAAGACCTGAGTGTAACTTTGCCGTTGTTGGTAATGTAAACAGAATGGCACAAAGGACCTGTTGGTGAGCTCATTGCCGTCCGTCTCTCCCAGTCCCACTTTCTCGCTGGTGTCGCCCCGTGCCCTGTCTCGCTAGTCACATGTGAGCGGGACCGGCGTGTGTGCCCCTCCCCCAAACCACACAGCACCTGCAGCGCTGCCCGTCCTGCCGTCTTATTGGCATGAAAGTATTTTTGTTCCTGTCATGTGCTTAATTTTTCATTCATTTATTCACTCATTCACTGATTTACTCATTCATCACTGGGAGTCATGCTGTTTTTTTTTTAAGATCCGATAACCTGAAGGGATGCAGTTATTTTGGCTCTCGTACAGGAGATTTTGCGTCGTCTTTTCGAAGCTCTGATTTGCCGGGAAATGGCCCATATGTCACTTCTTAGCTAATTAAGTGGGGAAGCTGGGGGTGGGAAACCTGTGCATCCGTCACCTGCCAGGAGGTGAGTTTAACAAGGCAGCCGGCAGACCTGCCCACCCGTCACCCCGCCAGCAAAGCCATTGTAAGCTTTGGTGCCAAAATCACATGACTTCCTGTCTTTAGCCAGCGTGGCTGTGTCCGAATTCAGGGGCTGCGTCCTTCTAAGGCTTCATTCGAAGACCGAATGTGTCACAGAGGTATGACAAGGCTGTCCCATTTGGAAGGTTCCTTCAAATGCGGACTAGAAATGTGTCCTCCTTTTGCCAAATCGTAAAGGATCCACCCGATGGATCCTTCACAGCCTAACATATCCCAAGATTCATTGCACAGAAATAAAGTGGGTGTGTCCCTGTTAGACGATAGGAGCAGCACTTTGTGACTTAAGGATAAGGGTGGGAACAGTTAATGACGGAAATATGAAACTATCCATAGGCCAGACTGTCCCATTTGACAAAGATTTCTCTTCGACCTTTGAAGAAATGCAGCCCACAAAGGCTACACCTTCATAGACCACGTCCTTCGGAGGATACAGTCCTCAAATTTGGACACAGCCAGGTATCCAAGAGCAGGCTCAGCCATGCTAACCTGTGTGTGGTCTGTGCTTGCTCCCCCTCCCCAGGTGATCCCCAGTGACCCCTTCTGGGTGCCCACCACAGAAGAGGAGTACCTCCACTTTGGCGAGAAGGCGGATTCAGCCAACCAGGCACTCAAGTACATGAACGGTGTGCGGCGACGCAAAGGGCTCTATGTGGAGGAGAAGATCGTGGAGCACGCAGAGAAGCAGCGGACACTCGGCAAGAACAAATGAGGCCCCGGCATGGAGCCGAGGGGAACACCTCATGCATAGGCCCACAGACCAGATGAGACATTGCTGCTCTTTTATGCTTCATAAAAGGTGCAGAAGTGGTTTCTCTGGTTTGCTGTACTGGTTATTTTTGTTGAGTGCTGGTTGATTGCAGTACACGTGAGACTGAGATCACATCCTACCTGTCAGTGCTTTAACTAGCTGATACCAGGCTGGACCAACACATGTTCTGAGGCTAGTCTCAGAGCTGAAGAACCTTTCTGGATGGCCAAAGGCAGCTTTGATCCCTCAACTTTGCCTTCTGGCGTTTTCAGCAGCACATCGAGTTACGGGTCTAGCTTTGAGAGGGGCCGGAGCTATTGTTGGGAGCATAGTTTGATTTTAGTTCTTCCACTGGTCCAGATTCATTGCCTGTGTAATTGTAGATGTATTTAATTTTCCCACTGAAGTAAAACAGGCAAATGATGCGAAGTTTTATGACTAAGAGTCTTGTTTTCTCTGGCAAACAAAAAGATTTAAATAAAAATTGCTATGAGAACCCCTTGAAGCAGCAAAGGAATCTTATTTAAGCTGAAAATAAATGTCACGTTACTCACAGAGCAGTATTTTTTAAGATGGTGCCCCTCGTATCTGTGTGACAGTATGGTGAGGCACCTGTGTTCGATTAGTATCGGGCTGATCCCTTTTTAGATGTTTTCTGGCCCCTAATTCAGCGTTAAATTCAAGGGTAGCCCCCCCGGATCGTAGTCCTTGGCATTCCAATCCATAGTGGGCGAGGCTGGGAACAGATCCTCTATAATGTTCTGGGCAGTGATGTCATGATTGGGAACCGGGTTTCCTTTTGTAAGGCAGCAGGTGTGAGTAGCAGCAGAAGCGGCCATTATGGTGAGATGTGGTAGATAAACCATTCAGTGGGTGTAAACACACAGATCTGGTCACATATATGCTGATGCACATACAGCACTCTTACTGGGTTAATGGTTATCCTGACAGGATGGGTACGGTTAGGCTTAAGCTGTACCCATATGGTTTTGGATTCTCACGCCCCTCCCGAAGGAAAACAGAATGAGGAGCCCCAGTGTAACCACTGAGAGGGGTAACGTGAAACCCAGTGGGGAGGGTGCGGCCTTCGTGGCGCGGAGCGTGGATGATTGATCACGGGCTGAAGAGCGCCGATTGTTCGACCAGGTGTATGGCTGGGCTGGAGGGGGCTGGAGGGGCTGGGATCACTTTCAGGAGCAGGGATTCAAGTTGACTCGGCAATTGTGAAGGTGCGAAGGTGCCTCCTCCGGTGCTGAGAAGACGGATCCAGTGTGGAAGCTTCCTTACTGAGCTCCAGGTGGCTACGTTGTGATCGCACACGCACACGCACACGCACACGCACCTACACTCCTCTACCCGAAACAGCGCTGACGTGTTTTCCTCGGCTTTCATAATTCACAGGTGTGTATCTGACGATCTGATTATAGATGATGGACTCACTGCCTTCAGCCTGACTAACCAACTGCCTGCTCTGTCTCCAGTCAGGGTCTCCTTTGATGGAGGCTGTTCCTTTGAAAGAGGACCCCCCCCCCAATCCTGTTAAATGGGCCTCCTTATCATGAAGCTTGATTCCTCAGTTGCTCTTCGTTGGCCCTGTAAGCGTACGTTCCAGCCTGTTCTGGCATGATGCTGTAGGTGAATCCGGGCTGTCCTACACTGATCTGCCTTTGCGATTCATACCAGGCTGCACTTCTCTCTCCCAGAAATTGCACCCTGGCTGAATAGCTTGCGCCACGCTTTCCCTGTTGGAGGCATTGACAAATCATGACTAACAAATACCTAATCTCTCTGCATAGTATTTTCGGACTATAAAATATAGAGCCATGAGTCAGGCAGGCTGAGAAGGAGTTAATCTTGAGGCCCCTGGTGAATTTTTACAATTTATCACTGCTGAATTTTTCCACCTCAACTTTTTTTCTGTTTCCTGTTGGAAAGGTATCAAGATGTTTCTGGAAGCTTCTTGCCTCGAGTTCAGATGAGCTGTCAGAGTAACCCGGGTAATTTCCCATAGTGCACTACCAGACCTCAGTGAGGTCACTATGCCCCTAACGAATATATTTTGATCTTGAACAGCATGTAGCATTAGGTGGTGAACGGACCCCGTTTTGGCTTCGGAGAGGAAGGATTGGGCGTTATGGTTAATTGCTGTAGCTCGAGTTCTTCCTTTGAGAACACGACCCCTGGTATTACCTCATCAATCCCCTCTTCTGTTCCAGCCGCAATTGGTGGGTGGGTGGGGGGGAGGGGGGGCACAGGCTGAAGCGGTTGTGGTTTTCCCTGCGCCTGCAGGCGATCATTGTTGCAGCAGATGCTGTCCTTCTCACCACAAAAGATTTTTTTTCCTTGTCTGTTACTTTCAGCCACCCCCTCCCCAAAATTGGGGAGGTTCACCTCTGACCTTCACCTCAGCTCAACCTCAGCTTGTGTTTCTGCTCTCTCACTCTCCAGCTCCTTGATGGCTCCCCTGTCCTCCGGTGGTCCGCTAAAAACCCGTTTGGCACGGCGCTGACTTGCTCGTCGGCTTTCACATAGCACTCAAGCTCGGTTCTGGTTCCCCCTGAGCTGCGGTGAACGGTCCTGCCAGGCTCCCAATAAGCCTGGGTGACACCTTCTCCTCACTCTTGGGGCTCCAGGCCGTGGAGACCATGAGTAGGAGGAGTGAGGAAGTCGTGGTCTATTGTTTTGGTTCTGAGTGTTAAAATCAATGGCCCAAGACCTATCAGAGTTTTTTGCTGCCATATGATTTCCTGGGTTTGGCCTAAACCTCTCAAGCATAGCCTAACAGGACAGGCCAAAGTCCCCGGAGACCCTCACTGCTCACCTATGTCCATTAAAGGTATTTCTTGATGATGCACCAGGGTGAGCACCCTCCCAGGGCTGGCCGGTCATCCGTGTGCTTCCCTCCCTAGTTCTGACCCAGTGTTTGTTTGTTAGTTTTGCTGGAATGACTGCACCGTTGTCGCCTCTTTTCTGCTAGATAGCATCCCTGTTCAGTTGAGAGGTTCCCAGCTAACAGGGAGCAAAGCACATTGTAATGAGGCTTATTGAACTCCCCTCATAATGTAAAATGCTATGCTTTCTCTCTCTCTCTGTCTGCCTTTCTCTGTCTGTTTCTCTCTCCCTCCCCTCTCTGCCTCTGTCATTCTCTGCTCTCTGTCACTTTCTCTCTCCGTCTCTGTCATTCTGTCTCTCCTCCCTCTCTCTTTCCCTTTCGGTCTCTCCCTCTCCCTGCCAGTCTCTATCATTCTTTCCCCTCCCTGTCTCTTCATTTCAGTCTGTTTCTCTCTCTGTCATTCTTTCTCTCTTTCTCTGCTTGTCTGTCATTCTCTCCTGTCTCTTTTGTTTCTTTCTCTCTCACCCTTTGTCTGCTTCTCTCTCTCCCTCTCTCCCCTTGTCTATTTCTCCTCTCTCCCCCCTCCCTTTGTCTATTCCCCCCCTTTCTGCCTGCTTCTCTCTCTCTCTCTCTCTCTCTCTCTCTCTCTCTCTTCCCCTCTCCCTCCCTCCCCCCATCCTGGCTCACGTTTCTCTTTCATAGTGCCGGGATCCCTTCACTCAGAGCTGTTCATCTGAGCCGCATGTCAGCTGCCTCGATGGCCTCTCGCTGTCGTGTTGTCCTGTGTCTCTCAGCTGCCTCGATGGCCTCTCGCTGTCGTGTTGTCCTGTGTCTCTCAGCTGCCTCGATGGCCTCTCGCTGTCGTGTTGTCCTGTGTCTCTCAGCTGACGCTACAACCTGACAGCACCCCTGGCAACGTGTCCCTTCAGCGTCGGGGAAGGGGAGGGCATGTACACGGGGCCACGGCGAGGTGGCCCCCACGCGTCTCTCGTCAGTGACTGTGTGGGCGCTGCTCCCAGGCTGATTGTCAAGTGTGAAAACAGGAGCAAGACATAACTTCCAGTTTCACCAGCCATGGCAGACAGGAGGCGCTGTACTTCTGAAGTTCAGTCTCAGCACTGGAGTTTATGTGTGTGCATACATTGACACACTGTGGGCAATTCAGGGACTCCTGTTCACACATCTGCATGTCTTTGGATTGTGGGAGGAGCCTGGATCACACAGGATAACTCACACATGCAGTGAGAATGTCCCAACTGTGCACACACACAGCAGACCCTGGAGGTGTGAGTTGCCAGTGTTACCCACTGTGCTGTTCATATTATAACACCTGAAATTCATTATGACTCCTCAATATCATGGTAAAATTCATGACTATGGGTGGGCGGGGGGGAGTGTCTACACTCTAATGAAGACATGATGCTCATTAGCCCCTGCTGGGAGACCCCATGCCGTCCCGTCAGAAGCTGTCACACTCCCATTTGATTGGCCCGTCGCCAGTGGGTGAGCGGTGAATAATGCCCCCCCCCCCGGCCGTCTGCCGTGACCCGGTTCAGACTTCTAGACCGCACACAAGATCAAAACGCCTTCGTGGTTGTGTGTGACTACACATAAAGGATGCAGCGATCCTGAGGTATTCCCGTCCTTTTCAGAGCAGAGGATCGGGTGACATCACACTCTCCCTTGATGAGCTGGACATTCCTGGGATGACTCGGCCCAGACGTACCGAAGGCTCATCTGAAGCTGCGGGCCGCACTCTGTCATCAGCGCTGCCTGCGTTCATCTACCGGCGCTGCTCTCTGTCTTAATCACAAGTGTCTCTGCTAACGGCTGCTGTCCGTCAAACTCTCATACAGGCGCCTGAAAAGAGCTTGTGGGTCGAGTGCATGAACAGGCCACAAGCGTTGGGCATAGTCTGCTTTCATTCTTTTTTTAAGCCATATTAACCTACCACCAGAGAGGGCAGCGGTGAGCAACTCGAGCTTTTCAACTAAAGAATTATAGGTTTGCTTGCTGGGAGGGAAGCAGTCTGTTGTACTTTTGAAGCGTTTACATATCCTTAAAAAAAAAAAGAGTGCTTTACGAAGCATTTAACTGGATGCATAAGTTCTGTAAAAGACACCACTAAGTAAATAATTAAGTAACTTAGGGTTATCAGTTTTGAAAACATGATCCAACAAAGTGTTTGACTCTTGGGGAAGGTAGTGCTATCGTTCGGCAACTGGAGGGTTGCAGGTTCGAGCCCTGGTTCCTCCTGACCCCATCAAAGTGTCCTTGAGCAAGACACTGAACCCCAAATTGCTCCCGGTGTGCAGGTTGGTGCCTTGCATGGCAGCCTCCGCCACAGGTGTGTGAATGTGTGTATGAATGGGTGAATGTGAGGCATGTATTGTAAAGCGCTTTGAGTACTCGTTGGAGTAGAAAAGCGCTACATAAATGCAGTCCATTTACCATTTGTAAATGTCTTTTACGGTATCCTTGAGCTGGGATGGTGGTTTAAATGTTGTGAAGCTTCATTCCAAAAAACAACATGATCTTATGGCCCACAAAAGCATTATGCCAGTGGTTAACCACAAAGAACCCATAAAGGTTTCTT